CTCAAAGAAACACTTTCAAAGAAACACTTTCCTGAATTCAGCTAATTCTTATGTATTATATGATAGAATTATTTTGTATTATATAATCCATACACACTTCACTTGGTATATATTATATTACATTTTATAATTTTATTCATTTTTACAGAAAAAGACGAGCCATCAAGCTCAGCGATAATGGCGGTCCTATCATCTGAAGATGGACCAAAAGTGGTGCGGGCCCCGCCGGTGGGGCCCGACGAGGCCAAGGCAGTGCTCACTGCATGCGCCGCCACGTACAGCAAGACTGGAGCCGCCTCGCCACCTGAGGCCGCTGTGAAGGCCGTTCAAAAGTGCACCTTGCCTCTTTATGCTAAGGTTAGTTTTTAATAGGAATTTTCCGTAGTAAGTTACGCATTGTTTCGCTAGTTTTTTAAAGAAGTAAGTATTGTGATAGTACAAAATTAAAAAAAAAACAATCGACAATATAAAAAAAATTAAAAGACGGCCAATTGGAATAAAATTTTACGATATCTCAACACATTCAATATGAATAAAATTCTATTATTTACGTAAAATTTAAATAATGGATATCCTAATCCGGATAAAACAGAACACTTTTAAACTTTAAATTATACCTACGCAAACACCAAAATTTTGTGATAAAGTGCCATTAAACATTTTACTTCAGCCTAACTTCACTGACATACAGACGGACGGACAATTCAATCTTTAACGTTTCACAAAGTGCTTAATTAAGAATTAATTGTAACAAATGCTTTGACTTTGACTTTGACTTCAACACCTTAAACCAATTTTAACCGAAATCCCTTTCAGATCCTAGCATGGCAGATCTCACTATCAGCAGAGACCTTCACAGAACTGACAGAACCAGAGACAACACCAGAGCTGGTGATTTGTGAGGACTTGGAAGGTCAACTGATACAGATACTAATCACTACTGAAGCGGCGCTGGGGGCAGAACGAGTGAAGACTTGTCTGGCGCTGCTGACTGCTTCCAGGCGGGGTCTGGATGATACTGAGATACTGGATATTTTGGCTCATGATGACCTGTTCCGGAGCGAGGAGACATATTGTAAGATTATTTTTTTTCATTTAAATGTGTCATAAATCTTCGTGTGTGAGTGGTCGCAAGTGCGACTGCCAGGTGAGGGGTCTCGGGTTCGATTCCCGGGTCGGGCAAAGTATTAATGGGATTTAAAAAAAAATCTCAGTAGTAGCACGGAGGTTGGAAATGTGCCCGGTATATGGAAATAGGCTCACCCCCTATTACATGGGACTCATAACATAAATAGTGACAAGTGGGTGTTACCTCTGTGTGCACCTCTGCCTACCCCTTCGGGGATAAAAGGCGTGATGCTATGTTATGTTGTTATGTTATGTCATAAATCTTATTGAAAATCTAGCTGTTGCTTGCGACTTCGCCCGCGTAGAATGTGAATATTAGAACATAACTTTTTTGTTTAAAATAAAAGTATGTAGTCTTCGCTACTCCTTAGTATATCAGCTACCTGCAAATAAAACTTGCAAAATTGGTCCATTCCAGAGATTATTCAGTACAAACAAACAGACTGACAGACGAAAATTGTAAAAAAATGTTATTTTGATATGTGTATCGTATGTATATTCATATGCATGCTTTTTTAAAAAAGAGTAACGAATGGAGTTTCTTGCTCGTTCTTCTCCATTCGAATCTACATTTTGGAATGAGCACCTAGCTTCACCTAGCTTCACTGACGGACTGACCGACAGACTATTATTTATTTTGTATTTGTTGACGTTTCAAAAGTACCAAATTATGGTGTAATTGAAATAAATGCTTTGACTATGACTTTGACTTTAAAAAGCGGTTATTTTAATATTACAAATAGACACTCCAATATTATTTATCTGTATAAATTATACAATAATAGTTTATTTTTATGGTGACAGTAGGTAGTGCCTAGGTTCTGGTAGACTAATAATGGTATGGCAATTAAAAATAGTTTTTACCTTTACGCCATTAGTAGCTATAAAACAAATAGCCTAAATGATGGTAAGAGGACATAGTATTAATAGCCAAAAACTCTTACAATGGTATAAGAAATGCGTTGTGGAACAATAAGAAACTGTCATATTGCGCTATATCAAGGCATCGTTTCCAGGGCAGAGGGTTCCCTAAAACTCCAACCCCTGTAAAGGCACTTCAAAGCTCGTTAATGCATTGTCAGGCCTTTCTCCCGTTTGTAATGGTGGATATACATAATGAAACAACACCTCTTCATGCATAGTTATCGATTGGGGTACTTCGTTTAGCTCTTTTGAGGTCATTAATGTGACACCAGTGCCCCTGTACTTGTCCCGCAGTGCCGTGGGCCCCGGCGTCGCTAGTGTGGCCGCAGCTGGCGGCGCTGCTGTCGCCGTGGCTGCGGTGGGACGCGCGCGGCGCGGCGCGCTGGCGGGACGCCGCGCTGGCCGGGGCGGCCGCCGACAGGTACCTCGCCGACTGCGACACTGCCGTGCGACGCACGCTCATTGATTATTACGAGGTAATACTGTCATACCATACTTTTTTTAACTATTTTACGAGATAACTCGACTAAATTAACTAAAAATTACGCATTACTAACGTTAATATACTAAGAAAAGCTATGCTAGTTTCGAATCACTTCTCAGGCACATACACACGCTTCTTAGTATATTTGCGTGTGTAGCTCGTAATTTTTAGTTAATTCATTTTGCCTTACTATAGTTATTATAAAAACATAACCTGACTAGTTTCAAGCTAATCTTAGGGCTCATAGTCATGAATAGCATTACGTGATACACAATACAGCTAACATCGCGAAATCATTAGTCGTGGCTTGAATCTAGTCGAATTACAGATTTTAATTGAATTAATATATTTTGGTCACAATATCAAAATAATTTTTTCATAGCCCAAATATTATACAAACCCATTTCTATGATAGAGAAACAATAATAATTAAATAAATTGCAGGGTAAATGGTATTCGGAGAATGACCCCAAGATGGCGGGCCGTCTGGTGTCACAGGAGAACAAGTTCTCGGAGGAATAGTAAGTTCTTTACCATTTAAACATAGCGAATTGTGTAAAATGCACTTTATGTACTCTGAACTAAAAGCTATTTTACTTTATATACTACTTGTAACCTCTAATTTCATTAACATTTTTATCTTTCTCACCTCACAGCTACAACACAAGGAAACTAGACGAGCTGCCATTCCAACATTACCACATTTACAAAGACGACCCAACCACGTTCGCGAACCAACCATATTTCACCCAACTAGACTGGGTACATGACAAACTGGCAGCGACCGACTGCTGCCATTTCCTCGAAGACATAGCTTTAGTCCACATCGACCCACTACCAGAACACATTGAAATATTAAAAGACGTATTCGAAACTCACTCTTACGCGTTGGACTATGACCATCGCCAGTTCTACGGGCTTTTAAGAATGACCATGGAGAAGCGACAACGCAATGGACACCAAATAAAAAGTAAAATCGTTCAAGATTGGATGAAAGAGATCCAAGAGCCTCCCGTACCAACGTTGTGTCCTGAAAATGTGGATTTCTGGAAGATTATGGAATGTAAGGAAAAGCGAGACTTCTCTATGCACGACGGATTTGATACGAAGACTTATGATTTGATCGTGAGGTTCGATAGTAGGGGTAAATTCGTGGCTACTGTTTCCACTGAGAGAGAGGAGATCTGCGTTTGGGATGTTGTTAAGTGAGTATTTTGTAGTTTTTCACTTTCTTTGTTAAAAGCATAATTATGTTTTATAATATAATAGAAGGTGTAGTGGACTAATCTATGCCAATTTCCCTTTCTGTCCATATTTACCATATGAAGAGAGCAGAACGAATAGAACCCAATCACCCTTTTCACCCTTAATGCCCTTTCGGGCATACCTCTTACCTACCTTCTACATGAACGAAGTTAAAGCTTAATCAAATCTATCTCTTTAAAATTAAAATTAAAACATTTATTTTTATTACATTAAGCATAGACACTTTTGAAATTTCAAATAAAATGTAGGCTCTACAAGGACGTACAGTATTTGAACTGCAATGCAATTTCAAATTGCAGTTCTATTGCAGTCCTGATTAAACGGTTGCAAACCAAACGAGCAGTCCGATTGCAGTTCTATTGCTGTCATGACCAAACGGTTGCAAACCAAACGAGCAGTCGGATTGCAGTTCTATTGCTGTCATGACCAAACGGTTGCAGACCAAACGAGCAGTCGGACGGATTGTAGTTCTATTGTAGTCATGACCAAACGGTTGCAAACCAAACGAGCAGTCCGATTGTAGTTCTATTGCAGTCATGACCAAACGGTTGCAAACCAAACGAGTAGTCGGACGGATTGTAGTTCTATTGCAGTCATGACCAAACGGTTGCAAACCAAACGAGGAGCCGGACGGATTGTAGTTCTATTACAGTCATGACCAAACGGTTGCAAACCAAACGAGGAGCCGGACGGATTGTAGTTCTATTACAGTCATGACCAAACGGTTGCAAACCAAACGAGGAGCCGGACGGATTGTAGTTCTATTTCAGTCATGACCAAACGGTTGCAAACCAAACGAGGAGCCGGACGGATTGTAGTTCTATTGCAGTCATGACCAAACGGTTGCAAACCAAACGAGGAGCCGGACGGATTGTAGTTCTATTGCAGTCGTGACCAAACGGTTGCAAACCAAACGAGCAATCCGATTGCAGCTCTATTACAGTCGTGTCAACTGCGTTCAAACTGCATCCGAACTGCAATTTGCAGTTGGATTGCAATTGAAATGCGGTTCATCAGTTTAGAGCCTTACCATCAGTGAATATGCTGTGCTCGTTTCAAAATGTAGACTCGTATGGTAATGGCCTCATGCATGCACGTCGATTGAGGACGCTTATTTCTTGTCTTTAACTTTATCCTTGCATCGTATTTCAGGTGTCAGCTAGTAAGGAAGATGGTGGGTGTGACACACCCTATAAACTTGGTGCCAATAGACGAGTACAAGTGCGTGGTGCTATGTCGCAGGGAGCTCAGGGTCTACAACCTGGATCAGGTATTATTATTGTGTTATGTTTCTTCTGACTGCCTCGTTGGCCGAGTGCTCGCAAGTGCGAGTGCTGGGCAATGGGTTTTGGGTTCGATTCCCAAGTCGCGCAAAGTATTAATGGGATTGTGTAGTAGTAGCACGGAGTCTGGAATTGTGCCCGGTATATTGCAATAGGCTCACTCCCTATTACATGGGACTCATAACGTAAATAGTGAAAAGTGGGCGTTACATTGTACAGTGGCATTAAATACCATAATGTGCACCTCTACCTACACCTTCTGGGATGAAAAGCGTAATGTAAGAAAGTGGCCCATCACTGGAAAATGTTGCATCTTGTGAAATGCCACCAATACCTTAGCGTAATCCTTCAGAAGATTACCTTTTTTGGCAAAAGCCGGTAAACGAGCAGACGGATCACCTGATCGTAAGCAATCGGCGTTGACCATGGACACCCGGAACACTAGAGGCGTTACAAGTGTGTTACCGCCTTTTGGAGATTAGGAATTTGAGAATTGTTGGGGATTCAGGGATTTGATAGATTGGGGAAGGGAGGGAGGGGGTTAATTGAGCCTCCGGTAACCTCACTCACTCGAAACACAACGCAGCGTTGTTTCACGTCGGTTTTCTGCTCGGCCGTGGTATCATTTCGTTCGAACCGGCCCATTCGTGCCGAAGCATGGCTTTCACACACTTACCGTCCACGTTGATGAATATGGTATGAGAGAATTGCTCTCTCTCTACCCTCTTACAACTTATAATTATCTTATATGGTGCATATGTTCATTTGCCTCAAATCCTAACCCTAACTTCTTCATCAGTATAATAATTACTTGTATCTTCCTCAGGGCACATTCCTGGTAGCTCTGAAGGGTGTGATGAACCAAAAGATGCCGTACTACGGTCTGCACGACCCGACGCATCTCGTCGCACTCTCCAGGAACCGAATGTACGTCAACCTAATGAATATTGAGACCGGTGAGTTAATTCATGTATATTATAAATGTTTTACTATAATATATCGATGTTGCTGGTTGCCGAGCAAGGGGGCTCAGGTTGGATTCCCATGTCAAAGTCAAAGTCAAAGTTAAAGTCAAAGCATATATTTCAATTAAACCATAGTTTGGTACTTTTGAAACGTCAACAAATACAAAATAAATAATAGTCTGTCAGTCAGTCCGTCAGTGAAATTAGGTGAAGCTAGGTGCTCATTCCAAAACGTAGATTCGAATGGAGAAGAACGAGCAAGAAACTCCATTCGGTACTCTTTTAAAAAAGTATGTTCTACAATGTTTCTGATACATATTTCAATACTGTACGCATATGTAAGAACAATGCAAAGACACGCTTGTCAGTCTAGTTTTTTTTGATGAGCAAACAAATTACTTGCATCATCATCAACAGCCTATAAGTGCCCATTGTTGAGCAAAGCCTCTTCTCACACGGAGAAGATTTGAGCATTAATCACCACGCTTGCTCATTGCGGGTTGGCGATTTCAAACTTATAATTAGAAATTATAAGTCCAGGTTTCCTCACGATGTTTTCTTTCACCGTTTGTCAGTGGCGTCTAAATAATCTTAGAAAGTACCTACTTAGAACTCGGAAAAGTCACGTCCTTGCCGTTGGTAAGTTTCGAACCCGCAGTCTCAACAGTTTAGTTAGTTGTCAGCAATAAGCACCGCCCATGGAGACCCGAAATACCAACGGTAAGGTATTATGTGAGTTAGGGGCCTTTTGGGGAATTGAGCTCCTTTATCTTCCACGGAGGTAACAAAAAATACATACTTTTTATTAATATTCAACGAATTTAGAACCCTCTCCTTGTTTTGAAGTCAGTTAAAAATGCTTTATATCATGTTTCCAGGTGACTGTGTGACGACATTTAAGGCTGGAGAAGACAGGTTCCTCAACTCTCTGCTGGTCTCTGGGGATGGAAGGTGAGCCATTTACATATCTAGAACCTTAAATTCCGTCGCGGCGATGTCGTGAAGTCTAATTGGCGCTGTAGGCTACGCGACATCGCCGCGACCGCGCACGCTGCTCATGAGGAAGAGCCCCTCTGTAGCTCGAAACTAGTAGAGCTTTTCTCAGTGTACCCACTTGATTAACCTGCTATTTTCAGCATGTCTCACGATAGTTATTGTATTAACATTTTACAGAGGCTAGTTAACAGCGCTCCCTGATCAATTCGAACCTTTTAACTACTTGCCAAGCGTGGAGTCTATGGAGATTCTCTCTTCTGAAATTTCACAGACTGTTATTGATAATCTAGTAAAACTATAATTCCTTTTTCTTCCAGGGTGCTAGTATGTGGTGACGAGACTCAAAAGCCGTTCCCTCTGCTCGTCTGGTCGCTCACATCTCGGAAACTGCTGTACGACCTGAGGATACCACATCACGACTTCATCACTTCCAAAGCTGCTATTACTTATGAAGGTAAAGTCTGTCAGAGTTGACGTAACGTTTGCTGCTTTAGAAGTCGTGAATTGATGCACCGATGTATAGTTTAAGGAAATCTAACCCTTTTACCTGTTTACCTGTTGTTCTGAAATAAGCCTGAATTTATTGTATATTGATTAATGAAACTAGCTATTACAATTCTTAGCATTTAAATTCAAGAATTTCAATATAATTTTTCAAAAAGTGACTGCACGGTTGGTGCGGTGGCTGGGCAACTGGCTGCCGTGCAACGTGTCGCGGGTTCGATTCCCGCACGAGACAACACTTTGTGTGATCCACAAATTGTTGTTTCAGGTCTGGGTGTCATTGTGTATGTGAACTTGTATGTTTGTAAACGCACCCACGACACAGGAGAAAATCCTAGTGTGGGGCAAAGTAAAAGTTAAAAAAAAAAAAGAACTAATAATACCTTGCCTAATCCTAAGCCGGATCGAATTATTGTTCTGAAATAAAATATATAGAGAAGCCAGTACTCCTTTGTCGATACGTGGCCGCGGAAGGCCTAACGGGTTGCCGGATCTCCGGCTCGAAGAGCAGGAGTAGGAACGGGGTGGATTTTAGTCAGTAAGAGTCTGATATTCCCTCACGCCTAACCCAAGGCGGGAGAAGCCATTGGATAATTTTCCCCCTCAAAAAAAATTACTCCTTTTGTAGGTGCTGTATGCGCTTCCGTACCTATCACGAAAACAAAAATTAAAAAGTAACAAATTATTAATCAAATTAAAATCTTGCGTCCCCAGGTTCCTACGTATGCGTAGTATCTCGCGAGCTGGACGAGCCGAGCCCCAACTTCATAGTAGTGTACGACCTACAGTCAGGGACATTGTTCAAGAAGTGGAAGCCAGGATGTGACACCGTGGCGCTCGCCATAAGCTCCATCGATGGCTGCGTGGTCTCCGGACTGGCTGACACCAGGATACTTGTGTGGGATCTTGTTACTGGTTAGTGTTTTTTTTTTTAATATTTTTAATAGATTTCTGGTGGACTGATATGATAGTGGGCAATGTAAAGTTTTTTGCGGTGTATGCAAGTGAAATGAGGGCCAGTTATTTGAATTTTTTGGGCCATATTTATCTCCCTGTTATTTTGTCATTGTCATCAGGATATGTTTAGAGTGATTGATTTAAAGAGTTGAGATTGAGAAGTTAATTGAAACTTTCACGAATTTTGTTATATTCGTTATGACAAATACATTGATGGATTGTGTTGGAGATTACACCAGACTCAATATTGGTTGTTAGTTAGTAGGCTCGTATAACTTCGAAAGGAACATTTCTTCAACAATACATATTTTTTCCATCAGGTAACTGCCGGCTGACACTGCGCGGTCACGTGGCAGCACCATCTATGTTGCGTCTCGCGAAGTCCGGTGGAGTACTCATGTCCACTGACGATACTTGCAAGGATCTCTCTGTCAGGCTGTGGGATCTGCATACTGGTTAGTATTAAACATTCACCTGTTAATTTTGAGATTTGAATATTAGTGTTCAATTAGGTTCTATGCATCGCCAAGACTTTAATTTACTTAAAATCACGTTTTCTAAATCTAATTACAGCGTTACTTACAGTTGGGTTGAGTCGCATGTATTAGGGAGTGAGGTTGCTACCATATCACAATGAGTATTTTTAAATTAGTGTCTTTTAGATAAACAAAATCACGACATACAGCATGGGTAAGCCAAAAACTACAGTGGCGCCCGGAGAAAAATCAAAGGGTGTCCGAAGACTAACAATAAAAAACCCTCGCTTATACTCCCCAAAGCCAACCAAAGGCTTATATCGATTACTGCCCAAATACTATTATTACTCATCTCTGTTTTACTTTCACAGGCAAACTGATAGCAGTATACACACCACCGGAACGAATAACATCGTGCGAGGTTTTACTCGGCGGTTCGGTCCTGGCCCTAGCGTTAGAAAACTACAAAGAGGTCCTATGCGTCAAACTCTATGGTCCCGCAGTGGAATCTGTGCAAAATGGCAAGGAGGCAGAATTTGACGACAGGGAATATGGCGACCAAAACTTGGAAGGGCGGACTTTTGATGTAAAAGGTCTGGAAAACTCATAGCAGGTCGCACGGTAAGGTAATGGTTGGGTATATTAAAGATTGTGAAAGCCACTGTTTTTAAAATTTTAGTTGTATGACGTTCAACGCAAAATTGTTAATATTAATACATAAGTGTCGAGACTACACATTGATAACGATAATAATCGGTCGTTAAATTGTAAATTTCATTATTAGATTTTTAACTTTATGACAAAAGTTTAGAGTTGAAAATGTATTAAAGACATTAATTGTATCGATACGACGAAGCGACCAAGCGTGGTAGATAAACATGTGTGTAATTCGATAATGACTACTGTCTGTCTAGGACCAATACTTAGTCCCATAATTATTTACCTGACTGTTGCCCACAGTGGTGTCGTACACGTAGTACATATGTATGTGTGCATTTCTGTATTTGTTTTTTTTTGCAAAATAGGTACACGTATTACTTTGTTTTAGATTTTGTTATAAACATACGGAAAACGACTTTTCAAGCATGCAGTACTTACCTATTACTTGTTATTTATTATAGGAAGTCCGTGATATAATTTTGCGTTGGACGTCAATATAAATTTGATATTATTAAAATTAAAAATAGGAAAATAATATCAAACAACATGTTATTACATATTGGAAAAAATAAACAATATTGTTGAGCCATAGTTAACAAGCAATCACAGTGGCTTAGGACCGCCGAGATGAAAAGAAAAAAAAAGAAATTAATAAAAAAAACATTAATGTTTGATCTATTACGCTTATTAATAATTACATTATTAAAATTAAATAATTATATTGTATTTAGTGAATTCTTTATCTGTAATGTTGATGTTTAGATGTAATTTTGTGAAAAATAGGTTAAGGTTTATGAATAAGTCTACGTATATTTCGTTTTTTGATCCTTTTTTCTTACTATTGCGTAATATTTTGTAGCTTTTATTCGATATTTTTATCTTCTTGGAAATGGCCAATTATTCCTAAGAAACGGTGATCATTTTAATAATAAATCTATCATAGAATGTCTTCATATTATGAAAAACGGGATGCAAGTCTCGACAAAAGTTACGGCAGAAATTGGTCGCTAAATCAAGAGTATTATTAATACATTTTCAACTTTATTCTAAAAGTATAAAGTGAAAATCTAAAGAATATAAAGAAATTCTCGATTTAGTGACCAGTATCTATCAATATCCAGTCGGCACACAGTGTTATGCCAATTCAAATCCAAAGCAACTCAAGTTTTGAAGAAAATCCCGATCTTGTGCTTGAGTTTTTTTAGCTTTGAATGATAATACGTCACCACAAATTCTCTCATTCTTCGACTCGCGAACGTAAAAGAAAAAGGCTTCGAACTTGTAACTAATTCACAATCAACAAATAAACTTCATTTCAAATGATTAAAAGTAAAATTAATAAATATCATCTATTTCATTTGTGAAATAAGGAATAGAGAATTGTGATTATATCAGTATTTCCTTGTTTGGAGCCAAAGCTGCAGCAGAGGCAAAGAGAAAAAACAATAAAATTTGGCGCCAAAAGTCATCATTTTTCATCTTCCTCAACTGTCACTCCTTAAGGTCTGATTCCATTAAACATATGTACGTAACTCAATTAAATCTTTAGCTTAGTTATCACCCTTAGCATTTTATAACCTTATCTAATATTTTTTATTTATTTATTTCTATTTCAACTTTCACTAAAATCCTTGTAAATGCCCTCGTTTTATTTCTACTGCCATTTTATACTTCTTATATTGTAAGCAAATAGCAAATTAAATATAGGATAATCATTCATGTTTTAAATAATAATAAGGAATGCACACAATAGTTACCTAATGCACAAAATGTTTTTATTTAAATGCGCGAGATGACATGGATATTTTAAACTTTTTAAATGTTTTGGCGTGGGTTTGACTAGTTGTGTCCAAATTTTAACAAGAATGTGTTGATCAATGCTCTGTGAAGGACGATACAATACAGTCTGGGGTGAAATTCCGACATTAGTAATGATGAAACTTCGAAAGGTTAAAATATTGATGTATTGAAAACGCAGGATTTGTCATGCGTTTTGGGTAAATTCTTCTAAATAAAAAAGATTCCCTTCACGAACATAATTTTGCTTAGAAGATTAATATTTACCCAAAATGCGGGTATTATGTTACAGTTTAATTTGTTAGACGTTTTGGCTGGACTAAAGCGCGTTTAATTTTTGAACTATTTATTTTGTCCGTGGCTGTAAAAACTATATTCGACCAAAGCAATCTATTATAATATCTAGTTCGTAATCGTTTGAGCATGAGATAAGTATTCATAGTTTCTGTATGTGAAACCACACCTTAACCGAAAATCACTTGATAATCTATGTTATCTCTAAGGCGTAATTTTCAAATTAATAAATTGTGCTTCAATATAAAACTAAAATAGTTTTCCCATAAATAGTAATAAAAAACCCATTGCAATATTTATTTATTTGGTCAATTTATAAAAACCATGAATGTTAAGGTCAAGAACATAACAATGTCTACTTATCTCATTCTATATCTAAAGTTAATTGAGTAAAGTGATTGAACTGAATCTTAATGTCTTCTATGTGATTTATTTAATGTAACTTCCGCTGCCATATTTAACATCTAATTTTAAAATAACAATTTAATATTTTTAACTGTGTAAGCTAGGCCATTCACACACCAGAGACATATTCAACCTACAGATTTGATTATCTGTGGTCATAAGAATCGTGTGTGGCCAAACCTTTATTTAATTTTGAGGGTTCCGTAAATCTTTCTTTGTTTTTGTTCGTCGTCCATTTCGTCCGTCCGCAGAAGTAAGATTAATTTCGAAATGCCTGGTGCATGAACAGCTTTCTGTTTACCTTATAGGACCTTCTTTAATTAATAGGATTGAAATATTTAAGCTGTTAAGTTTGCTCAATGAGTTTCGTGATGTTTTTACGGAACCCTACAAGCGTACAATTTTGTATAGCTTGCCTAGATACCTGTCGCACAAATGTGAATGTTTTGATTTTTAATAAACTACAAGATTAAACATTTCGGCCACTTAACCCGGCGAGGATGTGGTGAAAATAGTAACGTGGAGGTTGTGGAGGGTCTTATTGACCCTGTATATAATTGGCTCTAAAATACCTAAATTTATATTAATGTACCAAATATCAATCAATATTATTTATATTACATGTTACTTCAACGGTTTTATCGAAATAAAACGCAGATAAGTGTACAAAATAATATAATAAACTCACTTTTAACAAAGTACTACAAAATAATCAACTTTTACACAAACTTTCTAAACTTACACTAAAAACAACAAAAAGTAACTTCCTTCTTAGACGATTAACTTTTAATTTGGTACATACGTAGAGGTCAATTAGTTGCACTTACAGTCTTATCATCAAATTATGAATTACGAATCATTATTGTCTATGATTGCAACACAACCCCGGCAGAATGAAATAGTGTGTTCTGGACAAATATACGTATAGCAATCTTCACAAATATTGGCTGTCTTGCGATGGCGGGCATAAGGACATACTTGGCACCTTTTTCGTACACCTGGAACCCTAACAGGACCTTCTTGTTCAGGTTCTCCGATGAATTCTCTGAGTCTCTTGCGTAGCTGTCTCTTCATTTGATGTGTTTCTTTGCGGCCTTGCAAGTGTTCAGTAACCTGGCCATCCGATTCTTCTCCTTCTGACATTGGTGGGTTCTGATGTTGCAATTCAGATAGTGGTACGTTATCCTCGCCACCACTGTTTGCATTTTGCTCAGTATCACTATTTTGACTACGCGTACGCAAATGATCTTCCTTTTCGCTACCGTCGGATAACTAGTCATCTTCACTGTCAGACTGCATTAAAACAAGACGTATGCGGTTATCCTCAAGCTCCGGGCTATTTATTGTGTACGAAAAAACCTAAAATTAAGTAAAAAATATAATTGAAACCATACATAAAAATGTTACATCGCGGTTGTCGCAGGGTCATATTTACCCTATTTGACTGCACGCACATGTTGTTCCCGTCGCAGGCGGCGGCCAACTGAACAGGGGTGCGGGGCGCGCGCGCCGGTCCCTTAGCAATAGCTATTGTGACTTTCAAAACTCTTCGATCGCAGAATAAAAAACTACACACGATTAAAAATTGACAGGGTCAAAATGACCCCTCCACATCCTCGAAGGGTTAAGAAACATTATTCCGTTAATCATTGTTGAGACTTGAGACTCAAAATTATGGCGCTGATGTTTATCTGTCGTCGAATTAAAAATCAGAATATTCAATTGTATCTATTTTAAATTAGCGCCCAATATTCGCTCGCTGGAGATAAAAATATTTACGCGTCGTTTCGAGCGAAAATTAATGGGACGCACAAACTAGGCGCACACCAATAAAATATTTCGAATTTCGAATCACAAGCAGTGTTAACAATTGAAAAAAATATTTTCCTAATTGGTGTGTGACCAGTTAATTTTAAAAGAATATTTATTTTAGCAATGATATAATACTTTGTAGTGGAAACAGGCTGGTACCTGTCTTACTGATATTCTATGTTAGTCAAAGTAGCGATCAATTTGAAAAATAAAATCTAAGTGACTAATGTAATATAATCGATAAGACAACGGTGTAATCGATTGAATTGTTAAATTATTTATGTATTCTGGAAAGTTACGTATTACTTGATGTCCTGATTAAATTATTGGAAAAATATTTTGTAACATTTATTTTACTAACGACTAAAACCCGTATGCTATTGCTAATAAGTCCAATTATGACTAAACTGGCCCACTATCTAGGAGATAGTATAGTACACAAATGTCTGCGCCAACACACGAACGCTCTATTCCTTTACTCTCTTAATCCGATGGGATGACAGCCCAAAACCATCGGTAACCCATCAGCACCTTTTGTACGACGTAGGAATGGAACCCGCGATACGTTACACAACAGTCCCTGCGCCCCTGCACCGAACCGTGAAGTCATTTAAAAGGGTATTTTGTATTTAAAATTTTCAAATCAAATTCATAGATACACTTTTTTAAGTAATTTTATTTATAGTTAAACCATTTTCACAGCGAAATAAAATTAATACTACTCTATAACTGTTCACGTTTAGCAGGATTGGAATAGACCCTTCTTCCTCATCTCTTCGAACTCCTTCTCGGCGTCGTATGTCCTGAAATAAAAGAAAAAAAACATTAAGTTTATTATTTTTGAAAAAGATGATGCCCGTCGACTTTTTGAACCCTGCAAATGTACCGGGTTACCGCCGACGTTGGCGCATAACACACTCGATAGGTTGATTCACACAAGACATACAGTATAAAAAATGCAGCTTATAAAACTCCTTTGCACTAAGCCCAAACTCACGCAATTCTCTTATAGACCTTCATCTATATTGCACATAAATTATATTGAAAATTATAAAAAATTATAAGCATATGAAATATATAAAGTTATCGCTAAGTCCCTATAACCATAATAACTCAAACAGAAAGGTCATGCTTCAACTTCAATCTTAAAAGACCAATATGTAAGTGTTAAAATGGAAAACATTTTTTTTTTACTCATTATTGTCAGGACAATGTTTGTAGGTATACAGCCTTTTTTTTTAAGGAGGGAAAATCATCGAATGACTGCTCCCGCCTGGGTGAGGCGGGAGGGAGTGTCAGACTCTTACTGACTAAAAACCACCCCATTCCTTCTCCTGCACTGCACGAGCCCCGGTTACCCGTTAGGTTCTCCGCGACAGGTATACAGCCTAAAAGTGCTCACTGCTGAACAATAGCTTCTTCTTACATGCATGTTTTGTGGAAAGTATGAGCATCCATCAACAGATTGCAGATTGCCGATGTATAATACAAACTTGTAATAATAATAAAAAATTATAAGTCCAGGTTTCCTTCTCAATGCTTATCCTCACCATAGCATGATGTTGTTCCATCGTTAATAAAAATATTTTTCTCTCACCTGTAGAATTCAGCGTACTTCCTCTTGCGCTCATTGCCGACGAGCTGCTTAACAGCGACGGCGGAGATACCAGCGAGGACCAGAGACACAATCAGGTTACGCTTGATCTGAGCGTTGAGGAGGCCCCTCATCATGGGCTTGCTGGCGGTGGATACTGCTTTGTCTGCCATCTTTAAAACAAATATATTTTTATTGTATTGAGTAAATCATTTGAGAATGTTAGATGCAAGGTATGAACTATATGACAATGCCTCCACTTAAAGTTTATTGATACTTTATCTGCGTAGAATTACAGCGCTAGTACCTGTAGCGTTACAGTAGTATTTAACAAACAATGCTATGTATTATAAACATGAAACTTAATGTTTGTCTAATGCAGTTGGAGATGACTTCACTTTTATACTACATAATCATGATTTAAATATACTTACATTGCAGAATAGAATTAGAAAGGTTATTTTATTTTTCTAACTAATCAATAAGGGGAATAGGATATTTTGCCAATGGAATGTATTGTTTTTATTCTTAGTGGTACCAATCCCTAAATTTTTCCTTAGTAATTAGGAAATTGAGTTATTTAAACGCCTCCAATAGAATATATACCTAACCAAATGGTTTTCTATCATTTTTGGGTTATACTAGGATTAATATACTATACAATCAGATAAGCTGATAAGTCATCCAAAACTAAGTACCTATTAAATTTAAAATTCTACTTTGAAAAACAAATGTACACAGATCTGTATAGAAGACATACAATTGGTTAGTTGAAATATTAAAAATATCTTATTTCACCATAAAAATTACTGAAATGAGGAAAATAATATTCATGAAGGATGGGTGTCTATTGACGACGAGCTTACATAACAGCTATTTGACGGCATTTTTTTCATAATGATCGACTATTATTAGTTTTAAACCTAAGTAAATAGTAAGCAAAAACATGAAAAACTTAATTATATAGGTGTACTTACTTTTATTTATTTAGTTTTACGAAATTTCGTAAAGCACACGAGAACAGCAAGTGCAATTTTCAACTGATTTCTATTACAGAATTTATATGTAAGATAGATAACTGTCTGAATGCCTATTTGCCACTATGACGAACTTCGAGTTAACGGCCAATCACAAAGCTTAACCGTGACGTCGCGTAAAAAATTAAGATCAGTCATTGGTGAGAACACGCAGGTCCGTTCTCAATTATTGATTTTTGAATTTGACACTCCGTTTCGTTTCACACAAAAACTACATGTACGAATAAAATTACATGTTCAATTGTATTTTTATTTGTTTATGAAGAAAATTACCCACGCGTGAGATTGCTTTCAGTATTTGTGCATTCATAAATAAGATAAAAATATAATATTGCACGCGCTCTACTGGTGATACCTAAATGCTTCTAATTATCCTAATTACAATTTGCCTACCACGGTTACCGATACCAACTGGCTGGCTGCAGCCAGAATAACAATACTCGTAGTTATATCTACTAATTGAGGGCGAGAAAGAGCAGTAGTGACCTTGACCAACCAATAGGATAAAATTATTGAGACATGATGAAATCTTAAAGAAGTTTAGGACAACATCAGCCCTTGAGTCCTACCACCACAACCTCCGACCGAAGCCGTAGCTGAAGTTTTAGTATCTCTCAGTAATTAATTTTGTTCATGTTGTCTACAAGCTACAAATTAATATTAAAATTATTTTTCAAAACTTCATTAATGACTTTATACATCTCATATTGATATGTCGTGGTGGTAGAGGTTTAAGACGCTTCTCATGTATGAGCAAGCGTGGACATTATCGGTCAAACCTTCTCCATGTGACAGAAGAGCCTTTGCTCAGCAGTGGGCATTTTGCTGTTGATGTGATGTGATTGACTCAGAATTTTAATACAGAAGTTCTTACGCGCGCTCGAGCGGTTAGTGACTGGGAAGCGGGGTGACATTTTGCAATGGGTGGGTCCTCTGCAGACCAAGGCCAATCCCACCCTGTCCTTCAATAAGCAACTATCCCATTACAGGAAGTTTATCTAACACGAGACAGTTACGTTAAGACCTCTAATTTTTTAAATTTGCTAGATTTTATTTCTACCTATTTATACAAGCAAGGATGACCTGGACCTTCAAGGTTGAATTTAATAATTCTTCCTCCTCTTATCCTCTTATCCACCCTGTTTAATTAAACACTAATTAGTAGATATCTTTTTACGGTGGGTCGTATGTCTACAGGGTTACGAAAATAACATGATTTTTCTAGCTAGGAACACCAGTTTTTGAGATACCTATTGTAAGATTAAAATTTTCATTGGCCGTGGTTGTGGTCAGTCCTTAGCATATAGTTGAAAATTCACATACAGGGGTATGGCAACTATCCCATTACAGGGAGTGTATCTAACACGAGACAGTTACGTTAAGATCTCTAGTTTTTGAAAATGGCTAGATTTTATTTCTACCTATTTTTACAAGCAAGGATTAATAATTGACCCTTGAAGGTCAAGGTCACTCTTACCCACCCAGTTTAATTAGTAGATATCTTTTTACGGTGGGTCGTATGTCTACAGGGGTACGAAAATAACATGATTTTTCTAGCTAGGAACTCCAGTTTTTGAGATACCTATTGGAAAATTAAAATTTTCATTAATCGTGGTTGTGGTGTCCTTAGCCTATTATTGAAAATTCGCATACAGGGGTGTGGTTACCTAGGGGGTACGGAAATAACATATTTATTTTTGATAGGACCTCTAGTTTTTGAGATATTGCAAGATTTAGATTTTGATGTGGTCTAGGACAAGAACCTTCTTGGAACCTGAGAAAATGATTAAAAAAATTGTTTCCAGTTTCTCTTCTGCACCCCTTTGCTCCCTACTGCTGGCGTCCAGATTTTTAACATTAGTTAAAAATCTAAGTATTTTATAACATAAC